TTTATTTGTTTATTTGTTTGTTTGTTTATTTATTTGTTTATAATTACATTTAATGTTGTTCGCATAACAGCAAATTAATGCATCAAAATTTAAAGTTATTTTTTAGTTCAAATTTATACATTAATCTTCCAATTTTGCCAATTTTATTCAATTTTTTTTCGTTTTTGATCAAATTACGTTATTATCATATTGAAATTTTCTTTATACCCATTCATTTTTTTTAATAACTCATCAAATTTCGTCTGAATTTTTTCTGTCCTCTTCACTTGATATTATTGTTATCGTCGTTGTCGTATCGTTGTTATTCTAATTTTTTTGTTTTGTCGTTGTTGCGCCATTTATTGCATAACATAAGTAAAACACTTAATTTACTTTTCATAAAAAAAACATTGTTTTTCGTAGATTTATACATATTCCACATCATTTGATTTGTATCTTTTACATCGATCCAACAATAAAACTGTTAAAACAATAAAATTTTTTCTTTCTTTTTCCATTAATTTTTTATTGTTTATCTTTCTCTCGTTCATTAATTTTTTTAATTCTTGCTTAAATTTTGAGTTATTATCACTAAATTCTCTATTTTCATTATATTTCTCATCATTTAGATAATGTGTTACAAATTTCTTAAAGAATTATTATTTTTTTGGTTTTGATAAATTACAACAGCACGTAATTTCGGTTTTTCTACTATCTGTCATTTATATTGGCTCATACATTTTTTCTAAATCTCATTAAATTCATTTTTTCTTAATTTTTTATCAGTTGATTCTTAATGTAATTAAATTAATAAATGATTGATAATCTTTCATTTTGAAAATTATCTTAATTCTGTATTTCATAGTATTGACCAAAACGTATCATAATGAAAATTTTTATTTTGTAACTACTTCTAAAATCAGAAAAATGATAATGATAGTATTTTATCACTATAAAATTTGTTTATTTGGCAAAAACACACACACACACACACACATTTTTCTTCATTTCATACAACTTCCTTTCATTTCTTTTATCTTGTCTTGAATCAATTCAACTTGAAATTAATTAAAAATAATTTTTTTCATTCATTTCAGTGTATTCATAAGAAACAAAATCATATTTGATGCATTCATTATCGCATTAATTTGAAGATATTTTCAATCTTCTTTTGATATTTCTATTTTCGCAAATAAATAGCAAAAAAATTCCATTTTTTTTATTTGTTAATTTATCTATACAATTGAAAAAATTTATTTCAGCATTCATCAACTGGACGTATTTTAATTATATATATTTGTACATTAAATAATGTGTATTTATTACAATCATTGTATTAAATAATAAATACACATTACAATCAAAAATCATTCCCAACTTTTTCTTTTTATTTCATTCTAATGGAAGCATTCAACAGTTTTAATAAAAATTGAAATTTAATAACCGTGTTATTTAATAGTAAAATAAAGTTTATTAAAGAAAAAATATTTATCAAAAATTAAAAAAATGTCAATTAGTTAAAATATTAAAATTGCAAATGTTTCATTTATCACCAGTAAATTTTCGAATTGTCAATAAAGTATAAGAAAAAAAAAATAAAAATTATTTGTTCTTGATAGAATTTTTTGATCATTTGATTATCGTTTGTTTTATTATTTTGCGGAATTATTATGTATTGAAAAAATATTTGAAAGTAAATAAACGATTAGTGCAAAGAAATTATCGTAATGACTTTTTTATTGTTAAAATGAAAGGATTGCGATGTTTTCAAAAAAATGGATAATCAAATGATTAAAATTTTTTGTATAGCATTAAAATATCCGTAGTAAATCGTTAATTTTTTTCTTTTTCCTTTTCATAATATTTCACTAATTTTATAATTATAAATTAGCATGCTGTAAATCTTGGGACAGAAATAGCATTTAGCTAAGCTAAGAAATTACTTAAATTCTTGAAAGTTATTGCATTACGGAATTAGCTTGCGTTTTGCGACTGCATACTTTTCAGAATAATGTCCCACCAAGAGAAGGAAATGATTAATTCCGTCATAGACAAAATCTTTGTGAATTTAATCAAAGTACTAATTTCTTAGTCTTTTCTTAATTTCAATTATCGCTCAATCATCCGATAATAGTTTTTTTCCCAAAAATTTCTACAAAGTAATTTTTCAGTCAATTAAAAATATTTTTCTTGTCAAAAAATTTTTTCTTATTAATTTTAATTTAATAGTAATATGAGCGAAAAATAAACAACATCAAAGATATTCATTTAAATGCTAAATTGGCATGTTTCAGATGTATTTGAGGTGGTGAAAAAAAGGAACAGACAAAAAGTAATCTTTCTTGATGGTAGTGCCATTTGTTATACTTCTGTCAACCACCGGAATGAATAACGATGTTGTAAAGTTGAAAAAGAAAAAATTTATCAAACATGTTGTTACAATATCAGTTGCTATCAGTATACTATTTGCATTAATCGTCGTTACTGGCGTTATATTAGCATTTGAGTTGCCGCCAAGAAATCAAAAATTTCCACTCAAGAAAACTGATACAGCAGACGAGAAAGGTTAGTTGATAATATCATTCATTCAATTTATATATATCATTAATAAAATTTTCTGGTAATGCCATTTGTCGTTTATATTACTAATAGAATTGTCAATTATATTTTATATTCTAATAAAGCTATTAAGGATACATATGCTTAATACGAATACTTTCAATTATTTTCAATTATTTTAGTCAAATTTTAGTTACAATTAAAGAATGAATTAATTAATTAGTTTAATTTTCTATATTATTTCCATTCGTAAAACTATTCCATTAGTTAATAATTAAAAACACAATTTAGTTACCTTTTGTTGTTGTTTCAGAGAATTGGAAACATCAAGTGCATGCTGTTTTTGCAGTAAATTTAGTTGGCCCGAAAGATATGCGACTCAGGCGATCTGCCGAAAATATTAAAGTAATGTAATTTTTATATTAATTTAAAAAATTTCGATATGCAATCACAATGATAGGCAAATATAGCAGTTTCTTTCCATGTGTAGATTGCGAATTCCCAATCAATCGAAATTAGATTTTCTTATCACAATCAAATAGGATTCCTATCAATAATTATGATAGGAATCCTATTTGATTGTGATAAGGAAAATATAGCAGTGATAGGTATTCTTATCATATTTGTTGTACGATAGATATTCTTATACAACTATCATAATTATCATTATAATTAATTATCATAAATATTATGCAACAGATACTCATATCATAATTATTCTACGACAGATGTTCTTATCATAATTATTATAGCATAAATACTCTTATCACAATTATACGGTATGTTTGTGTAACGGATTATTCAGGTTATCATATTATATATTAATTCCTTGTCATATCAAGTTTGGAATTAGAATTGCCTATCATCTTAAACTTCTGCATCAGCTGACTGTTATTTCCCAAACTATAGTCAGTTTATCACTAAACTTCAGTTAGCATCATTTTAACAACTGATTACAAAATCGCTATCTTAAAATTATCTCTTTTCCCACTCATTTTCTCTTGTCTCAATTTTTGATCATCATCCCATTATTGTTTTTAAATAATAAGTAAATTTGAATGGGCAAAGATCATGTTGCAAAAATGTAAATTTCAAGATCGAGAATTTTTACTTAACGCAGACCTTGAGAAAAATTTTTCAAATGTAATTTGATTGAGAAGTACTCAAAAATTCCATTACTGAAATGAAACTAACATGTTCATCAGTATTTGCTGAATGTAATTGTTCAGCGAGCATTTGGAAAAATTTTCTTCCTTATTAATTAGAAAAAAAAATGATTGGTACCAAATATGTTTTACCAATAAACCAAACACAGTTGGAAATGTAATATTTTAGCAAAAGCGATAGAGGAATGAATTTTTTCACTGAAGAAGAAAAAAAAAACGAAAAAAAACTGTAGAATTTTTTGGAAGAATTAATTATTTTCTTTTATGCTTTTATAAATGAAATTTTAAAAATTTCTAAAAACTTTTAAAATATCATTACTGCATCCTTTGAGAAAAGAATTAAAAATTTGTTATTAATTTATAAAAAGAACACCTTTTTTCATTTTTTTTCTTTTGCAAAAACAACAAATATTTAACATAGCCAAGCAGGTTTTATTCGTCTTCTGCTTTTTACCAAATCAATTATTTCATTATATTTTGATAAACCAAAGTTTTTTAGATGTAACGAAAAAAGACTAAGTGATAGCGCTTTAAATTTTCTGAAAAATTTTTCGGTTGTAAGAAATTTTGTGGTATTTTTTTTGAAATCTAAATTTAAGCATTTTTGTTATTATTGTAATCTAAAAGAATATTATTAACAAAAAATTGATTGAAATTGCACTTTTGTATATTATTATAATCTAAAAGAATATAATTAACAAAAGGTTGATTGAAATTGTTTATTTTTAAACTTTATCCCTGAAACTTTTTAAACTTTATCCAAAATAGTGTTTCACTTTTGATAAAATCAGAACAATTGAGTTTATGAAAATGACAATATTTCACTCGAAATGATATTGTTAAATTCTATTCCATCTTTCATATGCTATTCTAAATTTTAACGAAAATTTTACGAATTTTTATAAACATGGAATTTCTATAAGATTCAGGCAAAATTTGTGTAAAATTAATTCATTCTTGCATGGTTAAAGGTTAATTAATCGATCATTTATAATCTTTAAGTGAATTAAATTCAGTAAAGAGTACCGATGGCAATCTCTGTTACAGATTAAATATCACCAATTTTGATCACTTAATTCATAGCAAAATTACTTTTCATCAAAAAGCCAATTTTAATTTCCATTTCTATATATTTACTTTATTCTATATTTTAAATTAGATTAATTGATTCAATTAATCACTTTTATTCAGTGCGAATAATAACTTGAGAGTGAATAGTAAATGATTTCATGTAATTTCAATAAAACGCATAAAAAAGTATGGTTTGTTGTTGCTTAATCACGTCAGAATCACGTCAGATAATTACAGTTTCATTTTCGTCTTCTTACTTTTCTCATTGTTCCACACATTTTATTTGATATTCGATGGCAGGCAAAAAAGATGCTTATGTGAATTTTGTAGGACAATAATTGAATTGATAATATAGAATTGAAAGCGGAAAACATTTTGATGAGGGAAGTAAATTTTTATTATATTTAAATTTCGCGACAAATAAACTGATAGCAAAAAATTAAAAAATGATTTAAAATTTATTTTTATTTCTTAGCATGAAATTGGCAGTGAAACATTTTGACAAAAAAATGAATTGAGATTTTATTTAAATTTCATGACATAAAATTACAATACATCACTTTCATAAGGAAAAATTAATTTAAAATTTGAAACTAATATTTCGTAGCATTTAAACTACCGAAAAAATTTAGAAATGAATATTTTTTAAAAATAGTTATTTAAAATTCATTTAAATTTCATCGCTTAAAATTAAAGGAGAGTATTTCGAAGCAAAAAATGATTCGTTTATTTCTGTAGCACATAAATTAAAAGCACAGAAGTAAAAATATAACATTTGAAAGATCGGATTTTATTCAACTTTTATCTTCAACTTTTTAGATTATATTCTAATCAGAAGATTGTGATAAATTTTCAAATTTTATGAAATCATGAACTACAAGTAAAATCATCCCACTTTTAAGTGATTGGTAAAAAAGGTCTCTCAAATTTGGAAATTTTTTTTTACTGTATATTAAAATGCTTAGTATGAATCATTGAAAGGATTTCCATTTATTTTGAAACTTTTTCTTTTTAGAAAAAAGTGGGTCGATTGATATACAAATAATCATTTTGTTAGTTTTCTTATTCATAAAAATATTTCACAAATAACATTAAGCTTTCTTGGCTTCAACTCGTCTGATATTTAGAACAGTACATTTAATTTTGAATTGAGGAAAGCAAATTTTCAAAATGATGTAATTAATGAGTATAATAATTAGAATGGCTTAAATTACTCACTTACAAAAAAACAGCTACAGTTCAAGAAACTCGTTTTCAAATGTCTCATTAGATAAAATCACATCACTAGCAGGTTGGGAAAGAAATTATATGAATCAAGAAATGATTCAGGAAAAAAGTGCTAAAATGTTAACATTTGTCCAATCTAATTATGATTAAAAAGGAATGATAATAAATTAGCTAGAAACAGAATTAACACGATTGTGTAAAAATATAAATAAATTTCAGGATAATGAATTTAAAGTTTATCAGTTAAAGAAAGATTTAGAGAAAAAGAAAATTGAAAAATTAAAATATTTTAAAATATTCGTAATTCATGAATAAAAAATTCAAATCTGTTTGAAATTTAATATAAAAATGAAACGACATAAAATAATGGAAATTTTAATAATTTAGAAAAAATCAGTTGAATAATTTAAAATTTAACATTTTCAATTAAAAATTTTTTGTTTCATAAAACGATGGTTGATTTTTTTATTTTTTATTTTGAATAATTTAGCAGAATTTAGTTTCAATCCATTTTAATCAAGTTAAATTATTATCAGTAGACTTACCGGGATAATGATAAAAATCAGTTCCATTTACATTGAACACTAAGTGGGATAATTCCAGTATTCGATTATTATTTCAAAGATGAGCAAGAGGACAGGTTATCGAAACTACTGGATCGGTCAATTAAATAGAGCTAATCCATCGATTTATAGATCCATCAATTAAAGCCAATCATGAAATAGCTGAAATTCTAGCATGCGATTCATGGCTGCAAAATAAATTGATCTTTTGATCATTTCATCTTTTGAGCTAAAACAAACATTAATAATTGCTCGATAAAATAATTATCAGTGATTGTATTTCGGCCTTTCTATTTCTGATAAAATTAGTCGCTAAAATTGATAAAATAAACTGAATTATATTAAGTTATATCATCATTTATCATAAATTGTAAAATGGTTATCCATTCCTATGTTCAAATTTGTGATCGAAATCGATAAATTTTATGTTTTAGAGATATACATTGCAAGTGATACGTTCACTGCTCTTCAATTATTATGGTAGTGATGCTCAATTTGTCATACAAACTTATTCTGTTCCCGGGAAAACGACAATTAGCGATTTCTGCAATGCAATATGTACAATGCGATATATCGATCAGATTGATCAAGATCAAGAAACTTTCATGTTCGATAATCCCAATCAAACAGAGTTTGATTTTATTTCTTTGTTTAAAATCAATTCTTCAAGATTATCAAACTGTATACTATTTGATGTTATTTGTCTCTTCAGATTGAATAATTTCATTTTCGTGTATTTTATACATCGTTTGTTGCGTAGAGGATATTATTCATTATCTGATTATCATTTTCTAAAATTCAATTATTCATTAATCTATAGGCAAAATTATGCTAATGCTAATTTTAACCAATTTCCATAATCATCCTTACAAATCTAACTATGCTAGTTTTTATTGGAAATTTTATTCTTTTTCATATTTACAACAATTTCTCATAAAAATTCATTTTTATTAAATGAAAACTGGAAAAAATTTTTTCGTTTGATTGAGACTAATACTTAAACTATAGCAACTTATTAAACTTTAATAACAAGAAGAAAAAACAATTTCAACTGGTTAATTAAGAAAAGTTTTTGAAGCACATCAACCTAACGCCTGATAACAATGGATTCATCATTTTACAATATTACTTATTTTTTTTTTGCTTTCTCTCTCCTCTTCTCTTCCTCTCTCTCTTTCTTTTTTCAGCAAATTTTTAAAAATATCTTGCCCCATTTACCCACATTTTTATAATCTTTAATCTTTGCGTTCCTTTTATTAAATTATTTAAAATCTAATATTTTTTTCCTGGAAATAATTGTTATTTTTTATAAATACAGAAAAAGAGATAATATGATATGATGTAAGTTAAGCTAAGCAGAATTTATCAATTTTTTATTTAGGACGTTCAAAATTGATCAATTCCAAATCCTGTTTCTTATTTTCTTGCAATTAATTGACATCGTTTTTGTTCCTTTGGTAGAAATATTTATGTAAAGAAAAAGCAATTTCTGGTTTCTAACGAATTTTAACAAAATATTTCCTTTGTGTAGAATATTTACAATGCTATTTAAAAAGTGCAAATAAAAAAAATTTTTACCATTTTTTTAAAATATTTATTTTGTAAAATTTAATTACTTACAGCGCTGTTTGGCAATATTATCGCTTTAGTTTGGGAAGAAAGCCAAGCCTTTATATTTTATTTGTTGCCGATCGCGCCTCTTACAGGTATTATTATTCATTTCTATTTTAGGAATGCTTGAATAAAATTTAATAACTGGCCAAGCTGATTTAATTTTAAATTAGGCCATTATTAGTGAAAAGTGAAGGAAGAATTATAGAATATGATAGTTTGAACTTTTAATCTTTATCACTCATTTGTAGGGATGATGCTGTCTTCGAAAAGGATATGCTTGAATCAAATAAAATATTAGAAGAAACAAAACTTGCTAATAAAACTGAAACAGTGTTTATTAATGATGCAAATACCTCTCATTACTTCATGTACAATAATATTATTAGCGATGAAGGAAATGTTTCTGAAACAGCTAATTTAATTAACGATAAATTGAGTTAGTTACGGTGATTTCTTCATTTACATTTCCAATTGATTATTCAAAAAGGAAAAGAAATTTGTCGTATTATTTATCATACAATTATTTTTTTTTAAATGATGCAACAGAACTTTTTTGATTTTTTATTCAAATTTTTACTTCAAATAGTTTCATCATTATCTGATGAAATTTAGTTTTTATCATTATCGTTTCAATATCAAAATATCATTTCTATTGTATTACTCTATAATCAAATTTAAAAAAATTTATTTTGTCTTAAAAGTTTTTTTTTTCAGTTTCTTACTACAGAAATTACAATGAATTGAATACAGATGCAATTATTACAACAGTAACTGATTCATCACAATTTGTTATACCGTATACCATAAAAGAAACTGCTTCAATGCCAATTATCGATGATGAAAAAGTAAGTGCTTATGCTCAACTCTTTTTCTTGTAAAAACGCAATTACACTGATAATTTGATATTATCAAAAAGTTAAAATAAAAATTCGAAGTGATTTTTTTAGAAAAATTGAAGCCGATGCACTTCATTTATGTTTCATTTGCAGTAAAGTTTAATTTTTTAATGTTCAATTCCTTTTTTTTTTTTTAACAGAATGGCGATAATATTGATATTCAAATGATACCATTAAATGAATTTGCTCCATCAACTATCAAATTTCATCGTAATACAGGTGAATATTAATTAGTCTATTAATTATTTTATATTTTAATTTATTAAAGGTAATTGTATAATCTAAGATAATACCAAAAACTTTTACAACACGTGGATAGGGGCTGAATACATTTGATCGATAAATAAGAATGTTCAATGGATCGTTTTACGTTACGATATAATATGTAGCTTTTTAACAAATCATTCAATAAACCATGTTGAATATTGATATCACATCGTTGATATCATTGATAGAATTATTCTTATTATAAAAACTTCAGATATTTTTGGAACAAATGAACAAGAAACTATAATTTCCTCCGCTTCATCCATTGAGAAATCGTAAGTTATTGAGTCTTATTGGATATCATTCGGTTCTCTCTTATGCTCTCTATCAATAAGCAATCTATTAGTAAGTTTGCTTACAGTTAGAAGTTAGCAGTTTGATAAATCATTAAATTACTAAATTAAAAAAAATGATTATTGAATATTTTATAGAAGTGAGAATGAGCCATCATCAATTGATAATATTCCAAAATCAATATTTGATATGACCGATTCATCTGAAGATGATTTCATCATTGAGAAGACGAATATTTTCTCAATTGAACAAGATAATGATAATGCTGCTCTGAATGATAATCACTCCGTTAGCACTCAATCAACAACAATCACATCACCATTCCTGTGGATGGGTAACAGTGATAGTTTTGATATCGATGATATGAATGTTGAAAAAGTGAAAGAATCAATGAATCATTCAATGCAATTTAATCCATCTCCATCTTCAACAGATCAAACTAAAGACTTTGTTAATAGCACTGCTGATGAAATTACAAGCATCCGAAGTGATAGTATTAATGAGCATTCTACACAACGATATCATCCATTAACCGAGAAATCATCATATTTACATGAATATATTAGCAGTACAGATTCTCCTACGACAATTATCGAAATGTCACCAAAATTTCAAATGAATGATGAAGTTGAAGAAGCAAAAAACAGCGAAATATCGGACAATTTATTCAGTGATTCATCCATACAAACATCATCAATAGCTCTTGAAATGGAAGCAATCATTGATAGTAAAGCAATTTCTGAGACAAGTCCAAGAATCGATAATTCTGGAAATCATGACACAATTCTGCATGCAAAATCACATATATCTTCCTTGCCATTATCAGAAGAGTCAAATGATGTTATATATGATGATGCTTACACTTCTACAACAGATGATGCAAATTTTTCGACAGAAACGATTAACTTACATTCAATAAATTTGGATTCAATTACAAGTAGCACAACGATAGTTCCGTTGGTTTTGTTAAAAGCATCAACAATGGATGAAATGATTGTTGCTGAGGCATTAACATCAATGGAAACGAATGAAAGTACCGGAAGTACCACGGAATCTCTGACGAGAAAGACTGCAACGTATTTAGAAACGAGTACCATTCCGCCATCAGATACTAATGTATTTACATCGATAAATCTCGACGGATTTTTCGAAAACGATTACTATACGAATATGTCGAATATACCGCATATAACGGAAACTGAAAGTAGCATAAAACAAATGGATAATGAAGCATCAATCTTAGAAGCATTTCACACTATTTCAAATGATATATCAAATGATAAAAGTGCAACAATGACAAGTGATTCTGAAATTTCAAATATTTTTATTCAAGAAGACATATATCCCAGCATCAGTAGTGATAAGAATATGGAATACTTCACCCCAGGGAAAAGCAATTCATTTCTTACCACCGAATTTTCAACAACATTGAAAATCTTACCTGAAGATGTAATTAATTTATCAGGAATACTAACCGGCACAGCAAGTGAACAATTGATAACAGATAATTTTCAAGAATCTACTTCAAATGATTTATCATCGTATGCTGAAACGTCCAGAGTAATGAAATTAACAGACTTATCAGAGATTGAAAATAATCTTTTTGTGGCTTCCAAATTATCAACATTTGCAACAACGGAGTCATCAGATGATGGAACGTTTGGTAATTTCTTGACAAGAAGAAATGATGGAGCAATCATTGATAACGAATCATTGGATATGCCTTCTACAGCTTTGATTACTACAACTATCAGTGATAAAATCGTTACCGCAAATGGTTCTGCATTTGAATCACAAATATTTCCTGACAAAAAAATTTTTGATATCAGTCTCGAAACTTCCACAATATCAAGTTTAGGCACGGAAAATTTTATTGAAACTTCAATTGTTACAGAGGATGCGATAAAAGGAATGCAAACCAGAACAACAATTACGGATCACGAAACTAAGCTTACAAGCAGAACAGAAACGATACAACCAATGGCTATTTTCAATATAACACTATCAGCTTTACAATACAATGCTAAATCTTTATCACAAAATAATCGAACAAGCAATAATTACATTTATCTACTTTTGGATGAAGTAAGTTATAAGGAAGAAATGGAATCAGAATCATTTGATCCATCAAAAATTACTTCTTTCATCATAGATAATGAACCTATTTCATTTGATGATTTAGGAAGTGATACAAATGAAACAAACAATGATTTTTATTTAGACGATTCTCTCTCATCGGTAGATGATACAATGGTGGAAGAGAAGTTTAGATTAGCAAATTTAGCACTGGAAAATAAACATGAAATGCAATCTGAATCGGAAGCAATAACTACCATATCAACAGTTCTCGATGGATCAATACAAGGAGATGCTGTCACTGACTGGATGAAAAATGCCGATCGTCATCATAATGTTTTTTCAATTGATAGCAATTCTGCATCATATCATTTCACGAAAAATACAATACCAATTAGCCCATTGGAGAATGTTCAATTTTCTGTAATATCACATGATTTTGAAGAATTGACGAGAGAATCTGATGGCAACGCTTTAGATCATCAAGAAAGCATAAATACAACAGTATCACAAATAGAAAATCTGATCAAATTTGATTCTACTACTCGAACATTGTATGAAAATTTCAATGATCCAATTGCGATACATTCGAAAGCATTGAATGATGCTGAAAATCCGAGTAACACACTACCTTTCAATGATATTTCTAGCACATCAAGTCCCGAAATTGAAGAAATTGCTGCCAGAAATACGAATCACAGAAAGATTGTTCATCAAACACAGACAATATTGCAAGCAGAAAAGCCGACCATAAATGATTCATCGTTATCAGTTATATCAACGATTCAATCAACTTCTACTTTGAAGCCAATAATAGCTTTTTCTTCTGATCAAATTTTCCGACGTGAATTAAGTACAAAATCGGGAAATTCATATTCACAATCTGAAATTGATAAAAATACCACTGAGGTTAGTAAAAATGAAAAATGGCAAAGTGTTACAGAGGAGAATAATAATACTATTGATACTTTTCAAACATCATTTACTGATATAATATCCTCAATAACTGCTGCAAATTCATTTATCCAGCAAAAGGTCAATATGGACAAGAATAATATCACTTCAGTTAATACTGTTATCTTGAATGATAAACAAAATGATACCTCTTTTACTGACAACAGTATCTCTTCATCAGTTACATCTACTCTGAATAATCTGACTGAAAATTCTCATGCTAATAGAGAAACTTTTCAACCATTTTCTGGAATTTTTAAAAATACTGACTTTTCGTCTAACAGGAGTGATACTATCGATAATTTCACTAATTGAGAAAGTTCACAATTATTTTCTGGAATTTTCACAAATGATAACTTCTCATCGGATATGACCATCATTGATGATGTTACAGAATGAGAAGCATTGAGGCTTTTCATCTGATAAGAGTATCTATGATGATTTCTTACTAATGATGAAAGTTTCGAACATTCTGTTAAAATTCTACAAATGACAACCTTTTATCTGACAGGGGTATCATTAGTAACGAGAAAAGAAATATTAGAAAACGATAATTAATTTCTTTTTTGTTGTAAAAGGAATTAGTTAAGTGATAATCAATTAATGAATAAATTTTGGGTAAGATAGGCCAGCAAAAAATGTTTTTCATTCGAAATTTTAGATCATTCTTATATTTTTCATCACAGTAAAGAATTTCTAACAGTTTCTCAACAAGTTCTCATCTCAGGTTATTAAGTTTGAAATTTTGTATCGCGAAATACAAACAAATGCTTTCATGGAATATTGTTTGTTATTTCCAATTAAAATGTATCAGATATGTTAGAATAATAAATTTTCTTATTTTAATTGTTACTGATGCATTTTATTCATGAAAAAAATATGTTTGAAGAATTTTTTCTTCAATTAAAAAATTTAAAAGTTCAATAATTAAGCACAATGTTTCGTAAACTTATAACTAATTATACTAATATAAAAATATCAATTATTTTGGATAATTCCACGTTGACTTTTCATAATGATACATTTTTTAAATGAATTGTATTGCTAAAAATTTTATTGAAAAAGAGTAAAATTTATCATTTCTGAATTATTGTCCTTAGAGGAATTCTATTTTGCTCACCTTATAAATTTAATTTCTCACTATGATAATTATTATCAATGTTATGTTTGCCACCACATGTTTTAATTCTTGTTTTAAATCTTTTATTTTAAAATGAATTTCATTTGCGTGTACATGTATATTTCAATTTCTTATATAATTTTTTTCATAATCGAATGATCAGTTTCGACTAAAAAAAGAAACAGCTTTTTTTCTGAAATTAATCTGTTTAATTTCTATATTTATTAAAAATTAAAAAATTATCTGATTGAAATGGTTTAAATGCTATATGGTACAAAATTATAATATTAATTAATTTTGCTTGAGTAAAATACAGTATTATTATCATTCATTGTTTCCTATTTTCATATTAATGAAACTTGACGGCTGATTTTTGTTATCATTTATGCTATTACATTATAAGATTAATTAAATTCAAGGAGAGAAATTTTGTTTGAATAAAAACAATGCAAATTTATGGTTTTTTTTAATAATAATAATTTATAATATCACTTATGATTACATAATCAACCATCAATCCATTACGTGACCTCCGTTACGTATTGTAATCAAATTTCTATGCATTTTCCTTTTTATAATGATTGCGTACATCTTACATATTTTTATTTTTTGGATACCTGAAGAATAAGAAATTGAAAACAATGTGTAAAATTTTCAATTATCATTATGATAATTTTGCATTTGTTACTTCTGATACTTCCATGTGTAATTGTAAACTATTGCTGTAATTTTTTCATCATTTATCACTTTTTTTTGCTCCTTTGGTCGAATTTTATATAACAGCTGCTCTGAAATATCATTGCCAACGGTCACATATTTTGTCAGTATCACTATTACTAACTATAAACTTATTGAAATATTCATCTGTTACGATAAATGAAGTACTGTAATTTCAAATATTCATTTGTACATTTGTATTCATTTAGTCGTGTTAACTGATAATTCCTAGTTGAATGAGAATCGTCAGTTTTATACATTGTGAAACTATAGCATTAATATTAACCATATATATAAGGAGGAATTTCATTTTAATTAGATTTAATAATTCCTTTGTTTTCATTGGTATCAAAATTTTTTCAAAAAATATTATCATTGGCATAAAAATTGTAATTTCCAGTTTAAATTTCATTATTTTATAAATTCCTGAAAATGTATTTTAACGGATCATGAAGATTCAAGTAAAATAAATTCTTTCTGAAAAAGGTATAAATCAAATTATACCGACTCAAATGCATGAACAACGCACTGTCGACTCCATGTCGAATTTGGCGAATTGAATTTGCCTATTACGTTGAAAAAAATTAAAATACATTATATGAAATAGATTTCGGAGAAATATTTCAAAAAAGAAAAAGTTTCGACAAAAAGAACAAAAATTTAGAATATTGAAAATTTAGAATAATAAAAAAATTAATTAATGTTTGCAAAAAGAAAAAAAATCAGCAGTTATTGTTAATTTTTTTCCATTCAAATTTAAATCTTTATATTAGAATTTATTTTCTCCAAAAATTTTGTATAAAAATGAAATGCTATAATTTGTAAATATATTTTTGGTAAAAAAACTAGCATTTCAATTAACGATATTAAAATATGTCAGCAATTTGATTTGAATTATAATTAAATGAAATTGTGGAAATGAAAAGGGAAGAAAGGAATGGAGCATTAAATGTACAATCTTATTTATGACATTTTTTTTCTTTTAAAGAAAAGATGCAACGATCTTGAAAATGATTTTAAATTTTGTGAAGTAAAACAAACAGGATGATGATAGTATGACGTCAATAATATTATAGATGAATGAACGAATGAATGAATGGATCATATTCATCTATTAATCCGTGTTTGAAAATTGAGCAAGATGGAAAATAGGAACACGAACATGTCTGTCTGCTGTTTAAGATCATATAAATAAGTTTTCCAACTTTCATTTCAATATATATTTTAAAGGAAATGGAATTGTAGGAGGAAGAGGAAGAAGTTAGACGGATATATATACATATATATGTACATAAATATATTCGATGAATACAACTTTATCGTTAAAATTATTTTCCTATCCTTCTTACATTACTAATTTCATTCAATGGAAACAAGAAGACATTTAAAGAAACTTGGGCGAAAATACGGATATTGTATTTGCCATCGATGCCATCTTGCTGTCGTTTTTCGAGGGTTTTGTCACCAGTCGTGTCGAAATCGTATAATTCTTGCCTATATTATCATCCAATACACACACACACACACACACACACACACACACACACACACACACACACACACACACACACACATACACGGACAGATAGACACACAAACACAGGTTTTCCCGAATTTATAGCAAAAATGGTTTTGTGATGGATGGATATGTTTCACTACTATACAATTCATTTTCTCTTTCTTTTATTCATCCGTTTCGATGAATAAACTTTTTTTTTCCTCGTAAATACTTTTTTTCACAATAATTATATTCATAAATTTTATCGATTACTTTTTATAATTTTGTTGCTTTCAAAAAATTTGATTAAAGAATGAGAAGAGGAAAAAAAATAGTAGCAAATTTATTGTGATTTTAAATTGGACAAAATAGGTGATATCATCAAGAGTTTAATGAATTAAATTGAATTCAATAGTTTATTAGCATATTGTGGAGTGCTGATGCTGATTTTATTTGAACAATTCTTTGACGCTATTGAAAATAATTTGAATCACTTATAATTAATTTGGATAAATTTAGAAATTCTCGATTAATCCATTTTAGAAATGATAAAAATATTGAATGCATTTATAAGAAACTTTATTGAAATATTCTATATCTAACATTTTAAAATTGATTAAATGTTACAAAAATTTTTATATCTAATTAAATTTTTTCCGTTTTACTATTTGCGAAGATTTTTTTGCTGTTATATTAAAAGAAATCTTATTGTTCTGGAAGACTACTTACTACTACAATATGAAAAATCTTTCTTCGGATATTTTACACCACTTATATTGGTTTCAGCCTAAATTCAACTAAAAAAGCATTTTTTAGAGCATATTAATTTGGTGAATGAATTGGAAAAATTCAAAATTCAATAAATTCAATTACAGATATAAATTCAAATTAAATTCAAAAAAGATTATATCGCCCATTCTTTTTTTGTGAAATTTTTATCGATAAAACAAAATGCATATTATGTTTTAAAATAAAATCAAACATTCCTTTTCTCCTCTTTGTGATAAGTTTTAATTTTGTCCAAAATGAAAGATTAATTTTGAAAAATGTTTCAGTGATATTAATTTTGACACCATTAATACGATCCGGTTCAGTTTTACGAAATTCCATTGCAGATTTTTTGAAAAAGATAGCAGTTTTTCTGTAATTAAATCTTTCATTATTTGTAAATTTAAAAAAAAGAAAACTCTATAACAATTTTTCCCAGTTGCTGCACGACGAGGTCTTTCATTTCATGCTTTTAGTCTTGTTTTCAAAAAATCAAACTTTCTAAAATTGGAATTTTTCATGACAAAATGCAAAATTGAACCGTATGAGCAATCCATTTGTGGCCAACAAATTGAGTTAAATAAAATTGCAATATTGTATTGTATCATATAATTCTAAGTAAAAAACTTTATTGTCATAGTAACATGTAAAAGTTTATTGTTGCAGTAATTTTTATAATTTAATTTTACACACAATAATTGAACTTTAATTTAATTCTGTATGCAAAAATTAAATTTCAAGAAATTTCTGTTAACATTCAGTCTTCTGTTTGCAAAAATTGATGGATTTAAACAAATAATGCGTGTCTTTTTTTCTAATTTTACAAATTCCCCTTCATTTGTGATCAACAAATTAAAATGAATTTTGAAAATGATCATTAATATTTCTTAAGGATCGTAAATTTCTTTCATAATTTTTGAGACGACCAATAAATCAATCAAAATGACCTTAATTTCAATTTTCTTTCAAAGTGTATATTTTTTAAAATAAAATAGCAATGAAATTTGAATTAAATTTTCGTTACTTTAACTTTCACTTTTTTCGATGGTGACTTCTTTTGTTTTTCTGCTGTCACTTTTATATTAAAAAATAAAAAATATTGAGCAGGACGCTTTAATAAAAATAAATTTGAAACATAAATCAGTTATTTAAATTTAGAATGAAAAAGGAATTCTATCTATCATTCATCTTTGTCTTATCACATCAAACATT